AAGTTATATAATTAAGCTCATCCAAAGTCGCAGAGTCCTGCCATGTGAAGAAGTACTTGTACCCTATGTAGACGACTGTATAAGACTACCGGCTCTGTAAAGCTCTGCCTCCCGCGGCTGGCCTTGAGCCACCAGCCATTGCACATTCTCCCAGTCTCCACTCGCAGCCGCATAGTGCACCGGAGTTCGCCCACGGCTATCTTTCGCCGAAACTCCTACCTGCCGTTGCGCCATTCCCGCCGATGAAGTCAGGGTACACTAGCAGACAGCAAACGAAAACGCACAAGAAGACCGGACACAGAACACAACCAAACATCGGACGAATACAGTAGAGCCGGCTGATATTGACAGAAACAAACAGCGCGCAGGAAGAGGAGGTAAAGCCAGAGAGACAGACAATGAGCAGATGGCAAAAAAAGACCGGGTATGGAGCGAGCGCGCGAGGGACTGGGAGAGAGAGAAACACAAGGAAAACAGCTGAAAGGCAAACAGGTCAACGGAGAGACAAACGACCAACTTCATTGACTGGCTGGCTGATTGGACTACTGGCACTGGGGCAGAAAACCATTCACCTGCACATGCCTAGACAGAAGTGACGTCAAGCACTGTGTGACATGGCAACACAAGAGTTCTCGCGTGTGCATGATGCAAGAGCAGGGCTGACTGACGCAACACACAGGCTGCATGAATGTTCCCACCAGCTTTTGTCTGGGCCGCTGCGCTTGTCGGAATATCCGCCAACTGTTGCATCTTTAGCGCAAGCCCGACTTAGCAGTGACCCGCATATATACAGGATCATTTTGATCATACAGGTAGCAGCCGGGCTCCGTTCAAGTGACTTGCTCCATTTGATTCGTGCAGCTCGTTCGTATCATTGTGCGGGCAGGTCAGATTTAACATCAGCAGAAAGAATGTCATGCGTCGGTTGTCACTCCGGGGCGTCGTGCAGGTCAGGCTGTGTGGTCACGGGCTAGATTTGCTCATCAGCAATGGGAACTCGAGCAATTGTAATTGCAATGTGCCTGATTTGCTGCGCATTGCTGCGCACACAGAAGAACGCAACTATCTAATGCGCAGCTCTCACAAACGTAGTGAAAAACAAGAAAAGCCAGGCCATGTGGCCGCTTCCTGGCCACAGCTCGCAGTTTCGCTAGCCTTCAGGGCGCCTGGGAGCTTTGCTGCAGCAAAGACAGCACGCCGGATGCAGCGGTACCAGGTAGTGCGGCCACCTCCCATGATGCTCAGATCGCTGCTAGGGCCTGGGGTGAAGGTAGCAAGTTGCAGAATGTTGCTACGTATATTCTTCAACTTCTTCAGGATTTCAGGTTAAGAGCGTTCCAAAGCGAAATATCCGCCCGGAAAGATAATCGCACTGTCTGGAACCGGTGATTCGGGCAACATCGGGCAACTGTTGCTGGCCACAGCTCGGCGGACCAGCTGACAAGAACTCGAGTCCACCAGCATCAGGAAAAGGGTAAGCAGGAGAGCGGGAGAGACAGAAGAGACTTGAGGCAGACAGTAGGAGAAACAAAGAGGGATAGAAGAAACAGTTGGAGCGAGAAGAGAGTGATCGAAACGAAGAGCGAGCGAGCGAGACACAATCAACAATCATCTCGGCTATGCCTCGAGTCCCAAGCTCGCAAGCAAACACAAGTTTGACGGTGAGATCGGACTAATAACGAAATCTCTCACTTCCCGTGATGGTGCCGTGTGCAATGGTGCTGCGCCGGCGACAGTTGTGGAGGCACTGTCAGCTCGCAAGGCAAGGAGCTCCTGGCATTCAGCACGCCTTCGTTTGTGGATGCATGCAGCCTGCCTTGCAATCCCCCATTCAATCCAAGACCTATCAACATCCTCGGCACATGATCTCGTCGAGAAGCTCCAGTTTACTGTTCAGGTGGATCAGCTGCTCACCAGCCAAGTTCCTGAGACTGGGATTCGCAAGGGGAGGGGAATGGTTTGCCATTCCATACTGCCGACGCTGAGCTGTCGAAAGTACGAGCTTGACAGCTGTTTGTGAAGCAACACACGCCGTCTGCGTTATCATGTGTGGAGGCAGTCGCATATTGTGGAAGCTTAAAGGGATGACGTACAGTTCCCACAAGGCCGACGTAGATGTACGTGATGTGAAGAGACACGCCATTTCTGCAGGACCGCGGGCTTCCAGAAAGCTACCATCAAGGCTCGAGAGGCAATGGACAGTGTCTGGTATGCTTCCGATTGGACTTTACGAGCTAAGCGCCCGGGATCTGTTGTTCAAGATCTGTTGTCTTCAAGTCCAGGTTATCCTTGAAATTGGCTCTTGGCCTGACGCTGGCCCTTACCACCCAAGCAGCCGGAGCGACGTGACGTCGGAGAGCAACTGTGGATCTGCCGGATGAGCGACAACACTACAGTCCGACTTGCCCCGAATGCTACAGCATGACGACTGAAGATCCAAGTGACGCAGTCTGCAATTCCACGCGACGCATTATAAAGAGCGGAAGAAACAACACGCGCGCACATGCGCTTTGATGCCTGAGTCTGGAAAATCATGCACAGGATTTCGTTACATTTTACAGCTATTCCTGGCACAAGTTATTCGCGTTGTTTCGACCGCTTGGGAAGCCGCTGGCATCTGCAGTGCTTCATTTCCTCCTGGTGGACCTCTGTACCGGGACACGCTTAGTGCAGGGCTGGCCTCAGCCAGATCTGATACACAACGCAATGAAAGAACAACCAGTGTCTCATTCTTCTATAGGTCGCGGGCGTTGATCCAGGACGAACGCCACGGGCCAAGAGCGATGGAGCAATGGATTTCACGTGCAGCATGCGCAACATCCACCCACCAACCCACGCCTGCCTGCCCGCCCGCCGGAACTAACCCGTGAGGGCTCTGAGAGGTGAGAGGTCGTCCCAAAAATAGTACAGCAAAATACCACACCCGCAATGCTCACTTCCGGGGGCCTGCAGACGTCAGCCCTCTCTGCGCAAGGATATGGAGCGCCTGAAGCACCTTCCAAATGGACGCGGAATGGGTTCTGACATGTTCTGACCTGGACTTGTCGACGCAACCCACCTTGCAACGGCATTAAAATTGCCAGGTCCAGCGTCGTAAACACCGCTAATTGCTCAAACATGCTCAAATGTTCGACATGCAGGAACCCCCTGAGCATCCGGTATTGATTAGGATCAATCGGCGGTTAGGCCGATTGATTTCGAGCTCCCCATTGATTCCACACCATCAGGCAATGGTGCAACAGCACGGAGGACGAGGCACGGATGCCTGTGCAGCTCTAACCCATGTATGACGGTTTCGCATTTGCAGGCATCCCCGTGTGAATGGGGAAGTGGTTATCCGACGTGGTACCCGTCGGATGATCACCTCCCCGTCCACATGGCTGCACGATGTGGACACTCGGGTGTGTGGCACATCAGGCCAAGGGAGACACAAGTAAAGTTGAGCTCCCCATTGATTCCACACCGTCAGGCAATGGTGCAACAGCACGGAGGACGAGGCACGGATATCGACGTCCCGATGAAGGAGACTATCGGTCAGCCATTGTTCCCTGTCCGCATCCGCATTACGCAGGGGCGCAACGAAAAGCTCGTCGCCAACGAGGATACCGACCTGTTCTTAGCAACGGCAGCAACTTGAGCAAGGAGGCTAGATCCAGCGAGTATGGAGTCACGGTGTTGTCGGCGGAGGAGACACCGAAGAAGCTTTTCCACAGGACATCCGCCAGCGGCATGCAGCGTATTCTCAAGGGTGGCATTGTGCCTGGCGCAAAGTGCTCTGGACGTGCCCACTGTTATTTCTCTGCCTACCGGCTGGATGAGGCGCAGTACCAGAGCGGTATGCGATCCAACATGCCCCACCCTCAAGGCCATTGCTGCTGGATGTGAGTTCTTTGTCACCGACTCCGATGGCACGCTCACAAGAAGCTTGATTCCCCCGGAATGCATCATTTCGGCAGTGGACACCTCCAAAAAGGATCTTCCTCTCTATGTTGCCGAAAGCTTTGAAGCCACCGTCACCGGTGAGCCCGATCGCAGCTTCAGGGCCAAACGCGACTATGAGGAGGCAGCAAGCTCATCCAGCGCACCCACAAAGGCGAAGGCTCCGGTCCTGAGTTACACTGACATGCAAGCGGTATGGCTCGTAGAGATGCTTGTAGCCATAAGCATCTGCTTCGGAAAGAAAGGCC